GGGGCCTTTCATAATTAGAATAGGGCTTTTGGGGCCCATTAGACTATAAATATATGAAGGAGCCCTAAGGAATAATATAGGTAACTATTTGGGCTTTCATATTATGCTGTAGTGTACCGCAACAAAAAACTATAATATGCTATGATATATACTATCATGTACTATGGTCTACTCTAAGGTACTATAATATACTGTAACATGCTATAATATACTACAATGTACTGAAACATACTAGAATTTATTGTAACAGACTAGAAGGTACTGTAACATACTACAATTTACTGTAACGTACCATCATATAGTATACTACAGTCCCTTCCCTAAGTCAGGTCAGTTTAGGGTCTCATTGCTCGTGGGGTTTGGGGCTTGGGTTTCAGAGGGTTTAGGGTTTGGGGCTTTTTGGGTTTGTAAAGGTGTTGGGCTTAAGGTTTCTATTTGACTCGAACGGTTTGGGGTTTAGGGTTTGGGGTTTAGGGTTTAGGGAAAGGGGACTCTACAAGGGTTCTTGGGTCTCCAAAAGTCTATGAGTCTAATTTTTGGGGCTCCCAGGGGGGGGGGGGGGTCTCCTACCAGGGTCTTGTAAGGGGTGCCACAAAGCTCCCTTTGAGGCGCTCTGTCACTTCTTGTATTAGGGGTTTAGGGTTTAGGGTTTAGGGTTTAGGCTTTAGGATAAGGATTCGAGAACGGTTTCAGCTTCTTTTCCTGACAGAAACCCTAAACTCTAAACCCTAAACCCTGACATGCAATAGTAAGGCTTAAGGTTCGTATTGGGGTTGGGACGAGGTGGTGCGTTTGGCGTTAGCACTGAGAATAAGACAAGGGCAGACCTTACGGATGGCACGAAACCTACGCTAACCCTAAACCCCAGGCTCCAAAACGGCTAGCTTATTTGTACCCTTACCCTAAGCCCTAAACCCTAAACCCGAAACCCTGAATCCTGGAATAAATAGCTTAACAGAAGCCCTGGAGCCTTGTTCTGGTGCATATAGTACACGGCACGGATGATCTGCTGCATCAAGGTGGCAGCTACCACCTGCATCGCGAACATGCGGGTTCGGGGTTTTGGGCTTATGGTTCAGGCCTTAATATAGGGGCCTTAATAATTAGCATAAGGTTTTGGGGCCCAGTATACTGTCTTCATAATAAGGAACACCCAAAATAATATAGGTAATTATTCAGGCCCCTACTGGTATAGTAGGCTTTGGGGCTTGTAGTGTAGGGCCGTTTGCCCGACATGCCCTCGCACCAAGCTTGTTGCTCCCCGCTGTCAAAACCTCTGCACTCACACCGAAAAGGATTGACCACCTTCGTTTCCAGGTTGACAGCTGCAAGTGTTCGTCGCGACAATGACAATTCCAATCATCGTCGATCAGTCGATCATCATCATCATCAACATCATCCTCGCCGATGCCGTCGTCGTCCTCCCTGACGGCATCGTCCTAACCTCCCTGTTACCTAAGCGTGTTCATACTCATCTAGGTCTTCATGACAATCCCCTCCTCCTCCTCCTCATCATCAGCCTGTGCATGTTGAACACCAGCATAAGTATCGCTATTGCCACTAACATCGATGACCGCTTCACTATCACCCTGATCGTCGTCAACATCCTCACCACCATGATCGAAACCATGATCGCCGACGTGATCGTCGCCATGGCCAGCATCATTGCCATCACCATTTTCACCATTAATCAGCAGCGGCATGATCATTAATACCATAGGGTTTAGGGTTTAGGGTTTAGGGTTCAGGGCTCTATTTTCAGAAAAAATCCGCGCGTGTTCTGCAGCGCACCTCGGTGAAGCTGCCGGCGTCAATGATGCGGTCGAAAAGCTCACCGCCCGCACAGAGCTCCATGACTAGGTATATATTCCTCAGGGGTTTCGTTTAAGTTTTAGGGTTTAGGGATATATTCATCAGAGTTTCGTTTAGGGTTTAGGGTTTAGGGTTTAGGGATATATTCCTCAGGGTTTAGGGTTTAGGGTTTAGGGATATATTCCCCAGGGCTTCGTATATATTCCTCAGGGCTTGACAGAGGTAATGGCACATTTGCCGACGAACAAGATGACAGATGGGCATGTGTTGCCAAAAGGTCGCCGAATTTTGCCTTGGTGTGGACTTTTCCCATTGCTGCTGTAGAGAACTGCCCCTGCACTTTCAGTGACGCTGTGACATCTATCGCATCTTGCTTTATCGTCAATCGTCAGCTACTGATCATGACAACGGTTGAAGAAGATCATGGCATGCTTGCAGCAAGGATGGCATCCAGTTCCGTTTCTTACAGGAAAGCGCGGGGCAAACGGAAGGGGGTGTAGCCCTTCCTCTTGAAGAATTGGGCTTTCTGCTCTCGGCCCATCACTCTACTGCGACTTGTCATACATACAACAACCCAAAACCATAAATCCTAAACCGTAAACCCTAAAGCTTAAACCGTAAGCACACACACACATGCGCGCTCCTCAGGTCTTCGAAGCTCTCATAGAGTTTGATGATGTTCGGATGGTCCTGCATAGGGCTCTAGCTAGGGCGAGTGGCCGGTGATGCTTTGCCACCCTCTGCTGTCTTACACGGCTGGGCTTTAGGGCTACGGGTTTAGGGGTTTAGGGGATAGCTGCGAGAACCGCTGCGGCAACCTGAAGGTGGGAAGCCCTACGAACAACTTCAAAAGCCGTCATCCTGAAACCCTCAGTTCCCCCTTCCCCATGCACCCTAACCGCCCTGAGCAAGTCCATCATTTTCATGATGGCAATCTCTTGCTTGAACCGCTCCATGTTCTTCATCTTCCCCTGCGGCCAGTCGACAGCGGGATCATTTGAATTCAGCATGGTCGTGTCAGTCTGAAAGCTTGAGATCAGTAGAGCGGCTAAAGTTTCGGGCGCATGTTCAGAATCTGAAAACCATAAACCCTAAAGCCACCCGCCCTAAACCCACATGCCTTTGACTGATTGGTGCCTTGGCAATGGTCTTCACGGCGCGGACAAGGCCCGTCGCCTTGTTCTTCGCCTTGCAGACATAGCCGTAGGACCTCACTGCAAGGCCCATGCGGTTTCTAAATTTTCGGAACCCGAAAGTCGGCGCCCTTATAGAAAGGATCCTAAAGAGATCCTAATTTTTGAGAGCTAAATACTCATGGGGTTCAAAAGGCTTAGAGCATCCTCTTCCCTGTGCCAGTGCCTGACATCTTAAGCCGAACCCCCCCCGCCCCCCCTGCTCGGGAAACGCTGTGGGTGCAATCTTGATCATAGCTTGTGCTTGTACTGCTACCGGTCTAAAAAGAGTCGACCATCATGGCCATTTACTGAGTAGAACCGGGAGGCAGTAGAATTTGCCACTGCAAGCCCAGCAACCAGCCCACACTAAACACAAACACAGACACACAAACA